GGGAGGAGCGGCGGGGAGGAGCGGGAGCGCGTTTATGCTGGCGGGGGGGGCACCGGGGGCCTAGGCCGGGCGCTTACCTGCGGGGTCGGGCGGGAGACGTCCCGGTGTGAGATGCGAGCGGGGCGGAATGAGGAGCCCTCCCGGGGGGGACCTGCCCGCGGGCAGCCCTACTGTGGGGCCGAGGGCGGCACCACCGGGCGTCTGTGTCCTCACCGAGACGGTACCGGTGTGTCCTCTCCCTCCCCTGAGCAAACAGAGGCTGCGTTGTGGGCTCCGCGCTTGGCGGTACGGTTTAGGGTGGCTTAATTTAGAATAAAGCTCCCTTCGTGACTCTGGCGGGGGGGGCACCGGGGGCCTAGGCCGGGCGCTTACCTGCGGGGTCGGGCGGGAGACGTCCCGGTGTGAGATGCGAGCGGGGCGGAATGAGGAGCCCTCCCGGGGGGGACCTGCCCGCGGGCAGCCCTACTGTGGGGCCGAGGGCGGCACCACCGGGCGTCTGTGTCCTCACCGAGACGGTACCGGTGTGTCCTCTCCCTCCCCTGAGCAAACAGAGGCTGCGTTGTGGGCTCCGCGCTTGGCGGTACGGTTTAGGGTGGCTTAATTTAGAATAAAGCTCCCTTCGTGACTCAACAGCCCCAGTGCGCGCTTATCCTCGGGTTTGTAAAGCAGCCGGTCGGGGGGGGTTAAATCTGGAGACACCAATTCTGCCCTACAAGCCTTGACAGGGCATTTCGCCCCATCCCCGGAGCCACCGGGGGTCCCCGGGCAGAACACAGCCCCCGTGCTGAAGCAATCACCCAAACGATTGTTATGCTTGATCTAAAGATAACAGGACTTAATTATAGATGGATAGACTGGGTGGGAAAGGCTCTGGGGGCAAGGCCCCTTTGGTGAATTTGGGGGTGCTTGGCTCTTTGTCGTAACCTCTGCATCACAAACACCTCTGTGAATTTCATTTATAAGCCAATAAAACTTTAAAGAGGAAGGCAAACTGCTCAATTCACCCGTGTTACTTTATGCACAAACCTAGTTTTCTTTCCTTAGTAATTTACCTATATGGGACAATTTTTTAAATATATATATATATATATTTTAATAGAAACTCACTTTTTGAGGGGGCGTATATTCTTGGTGAAGCCCTTTGTCTGCCATCCTCTGCCATACAGGACTTATTTCAGAGGAAAACAGTTCCACTTCTCTCTAGTGGAAAACAAAATTAAAACTTATCACAGCGTGTCCAACACTATGGTTATGACTCTGAGTCAGCTATAAAGGAATTTTTATTTCCTGAATGTAAGCTGGCTGTATTCACATGAAAATTTTCAGGAGGGTGAAGTGCTGTACCTTAAGCATGCATCTGAAATCTGACAAGCAGAGGCAAGGCAATTGTCTTGCTATTTAATTATTAGTTTTCTACTGGCAATGTACAGGTTCCTCCCAGTGCTGTGTAGGACCGTGAAATGGTAGCCCAAATTTTAACTGAACTTAAAACTCCTTGATGGACTGCAGTTCTTTGAATATATTCCAAAATAGCTGATTGATATAATCTAAATACACTGTTTGCTGTTAAGTAGATTTGCCTCTTTAAATTTATGTCCATCGTCGTTTGGGGTATACCTATATAATTAATTTTATTTGCAACCTCCTGTGATTTGAGCAGTGTTATTATCCATGTTTTCCAAGTGATCATAGTCTTAATTTTTCTGCCACAGAACAGTCCATTTCTGGTTGGCAGAATATGTAGAAAAATCTCTCAAATTTAGGAATATGCCTCATTTATATAATAACTTTAAAGACTGTAATTCCTATAAATTGAAACCTCATCTGAGGCCTGTATCTGAGCATGATTTGGCTTGTAACTTGGAGGAATACTGAACTGCTCTCTGGAGGTTTCATGCATAGTAAGTAAGATCTAATTATTTATTAAATGAACAGATTTGAACTAACTTTCTTGTGAGGCTGTTTCTGCTAGGTGTTTGTTGCCGAGTATTCATCTAGTTGCAAAGGCACTTAAGGAATGATATGATCACTACAAAACCAGATTTTTTTTTCTTTGTGGAAGTATGTGGAGTTCCAGAAATTAGAAGTTTGAAATACTTAAATATTAAAAGGTGGCTCTACCTTAAGTACTTACATTAAATAGAAAGTCAAAGGAAAAAAAAGGAAATTACATCACATTGTCAAATAAGGAACAGCTAGCTGGTGGATGACTTGTAGTGCAAAAATGTGCCCCTCCTCCTGTGAATTGCTTCTGAGATTTGCTAAAGATATGTGGTGGCAAGGTGAGCAAAAATAGGTTGTGCATTTAAGGTAGCCGTATTTCTTCCCCTCCCAATAGTTGTAAGTAGGTCTCACTTTTTTTTTTTTTCCTTTCCTCTTTCCCAGTTCTTAGAAGAAGTATATAAGCTGCTTGTTAAGAGCATTGCCTTTATAAAATCTGTCCAAAACTTGTGCAGCCATTCATAAATCCGTAAAGCAAATTGCTGTATTCCGTACCCATTAAGTGAAACATTTTAGAGCATGCTTTGGTCTGCTGTGCATACCAGAAAGGTTTTCTTTATTACGAACCTGACTCGCCTCAAATATTTGGTTTCATTAGGGCTGGGAGAGCAACAAGATTCTCTGTGTGATCAGTAGTAGGTGTTGGAGCTAAAATGTATTCAAATGCTTTAGTTTCTAAATACAGGATTAGTGTTGCTATAACACAACATAACACAATATTCAGTGATATGTATCAGTATGAAAACCTGTATATTTGGGATGTTTCATGTAACTCAACTTCATGTCACAAAAATTTACCTATATATTCCCATATACATACCCCTATGTAGATACCCCCCTGTTTGTGGATATATTTTACCATTTTCAGCTTCCACATATCCATCCTATCCATCGCTCATCAGTTCAAGCTGAAGGTATACTTGGCCTTGTTAAAAAAAAAAAAAAATCAATCTTATCTCCAATATTTACAAAAATCCTCATCAGTTCAAGCTGAAGGTATACTTGGCCTCCTTAAAAAAAAAAAAAGATAAAATCAATCTTATCTCCAATATTTAGAAAAAATAGTACTTCTTAATGTGAGCAGGCACGAAGGATTAAGAAGTATCTCCATTTCACAGTTATTTTGCCTTACAGTGGATGGTGTTAAGAGCTTCCCAATGTCCTGACAGACCTTTGAATTGCCTTGCCTTGTCTCTGCCCTCTAGAAATTACTAGTTATACTTTTAGTTTGAACTAACTCGGGTTCTTTTGAATAGCACTGAAACTGTAACATATTGAAAAGTGCTCCCAGTGCTTCAATCTTTCTAATTGCCATCATCTCTGTATAACTGAGCCAGACGAGCAGAGGAACTGGAAACCCATTCTGTGCACGAGCAACAAACAAGCCTGAGATCCAGAGTGTTTCGTTACTGCTCAGTGTCCATTTTCTTTAGCAAATGTAGTTTGATTTTATTTACGGTTAAGTCTTTAAGGAGGCAGGATTGGGCCAGCAGTTACGTTGGTAGCTATGGGTGTCTGTATCTTCATGACTGACTTTTAAAGCCAATTACTAGAAAATAGAAGCCTCATGAAATATGTACTGCTCAGCTTTAGTAAGAGCACACTGTATAAAATTTGAGGAGTTTGTCCTCCTCCATCACATCTCCTCATGGGCGCCCTCCTTAAGATATTGTATCTTCAAACAAGCTTATGCATGTTTTAAAATACAAGCACCCACTCTCTAGAACTCCACTGAAAAAGCAACAGGGTGATGTGGTGAAAGAGCACATACCTTACTCCTCTTGATACTCCTAGCTTAAGGCATGGAGGACAGTTTCATAACTCCTGTTCACAACTCCTCACCGAAATGTCGAGGCAAGTCACCTTCTGTGAATTCACAAAGAGGTTATTCTTAGAAGCAAGCAATTTTTATGCTTGCAAAACTTGTGCTTTATTTTTAAAAAATGAGGAGTTGATCGAAACAAGTGAAAATTACCTTTTACTAGAGTATGTAAATAATTAAGTCCATTTCAGAAGTTCAGCTTAGCATTTCAGAGGGGGAATTGTGCAACCATCGGTCTTAAGAGCTGAGATTTAGACAGCGTTCAGAAAGCTGACACAGTAATTGCCAGCAGTGGTTTTGGCGTGGGATCTGGTGGAGGTTGGGCTTCTTACAAGCCCTGCGAGGGTTGTACGTTATCGTAGCGAGTCCATGACATGTGCTCTCAAAACTCCAGCCGTGCCACCCCCCCCTTCCTGCCTCATTTTTTATATCCTAATCAATGTCTCGCTCATGGTCTTGTCAGATCTTGTATGTGTGCTGAGGTGGAGCAGTATCATTTGCTGACTAATTAGTGTTCTGTATCAGTGATTTTTCAACTTGTGACTTGCATTTGACTTCAAAAAAAAAAATAATACTGAAATGCGAGTGCAAACTCCTTCGTAGTCATTAGCCTTAAGGTCAGTAATTCAGTCTCCGTTTCTTTTGCAGATTCATTGCTAATAGGGTAGGATCTGTGAGGCATGAAAAAATCACTGCTGAATATAGCTCTGTGTGTTGATGGATGTTTCATTTGTGAATTGTGTTAACATAATAGGAAGTAATTTTAGAATTTGTGCTGTACTTGTACTGTGCTGCTCAAGTCATTTTGACAAATGGATTTCTCCAGTCCCCCCAGACAATGGTTCTGCTGGTACCACCACAGAACTGGAAGGAAGAATTGCTGTTTTAAGGACTACTAGAGATTTTAACTCATTTGCTGACCAAAACTATGTTACTGCTTCCTGGGGCCGTATGTTTATATTTAATTTTACTATGAAAAAATCTGCAGTTTGCATTACTGGTAAGGGTCCAACTTGACTCTGTAATGCAAAAATTGCCAGGGTTAAGCTAACTTTTAAGGAGAACGTAGTCTTTCCTAAAATTGGGAGGGCTGAAGTAAGTAGGACTAAGACTCTAATGCTTTTCTGCAGCAGACAGAACACTGGTTTGGCTCTTGCTCACTTCTCGTAAAAGCTAATAGCCTCCTGTCTACAGTTCTTCTTAAATGACTGGCTAAAATACACTGGATACTTGGTAGTAAATAATAATAATAATAATAAAAAAACCTCACTTTTGTTGACACAAGGGTGATCGCTGGTAGTCACAATCAATAAATCCATCACACTCTTAAAGAGAATGTGATTAGGTCTATATATAGACCTAATCATTATAAACATACATACAGGCAGAAGCTATTTTGCATCTGCTGTTTGCTTAGATGATCAATACCAGACCCAATTCCAAATTTGAAAAGCCTAGCAGAGTTGCTCTTTCTCAAACAAGTGTTTATTAAAGGCAAATAGTGGTGTTAGGTTGCAAATTAATCCTGAGGCACCTGGTTTACAGTCCTGCTTAGGAGTCAGCCCATCCCTTGTGTTGCAAAGTAGTATAATTGATCTTTCCTTTTAAAGGAAAAGGAAGATACCATATCTGCATAGAATGCCCATTTTTGAACAGATTTACCATAAGCATAAGCTATTACTTGTTTCTGTACCCCTTTTTTTTTTTCTTTTTAACAGCAATATAACACCATATTGTACTTGCTGAATTTAGGGTATTTGTGTAGATGAAGCACAGACCCAGAGAACATCTTTGCTTACAGTCTTACACTTAATTTTTCCTGCCTTCAGAATGTTCACTACTTTTATACTGTTCCCCCCAAGAATCCATTCTGAATTTCCTCAACAAATCCCTGTGAGTCAACTTGTTCCTTAGACTATGATTACTTGTTCAATATAAAGCAATTGCCCATGCATTTTTTCTGTTCTAAATGGGCCGGATAAAGCATTGTTCACACATTCAAAATAAATCTGAATACAGCAGAACAGATTAAGCTGAGATTATTTCAAATCACTAGATTTCCAATTTGTTTGAAATAAGCTAGAAGACTCCAAGCCGATTAAAACTATCTTAATGCTTAAGTTTGTTAATTATAGAGACTGCTTTATATAAAAGAAGTTTTTGAATTCTGATTTAAGTAGTTGGTAATTCTGTTCATTGGAGCAAAGGCCATTTGTTAGGCCATTAAAGGTAATACTTAAAAATGACTAGGCTGTTACATGTTGGCTACACTGGAAACCATAAACTCATTAGCAAAAAGGTACAACTCAAGATAGATGGCTACTAGAAAGTTAGAGTTCTGGAAAACTCATTTTGCCTGAATAATTGGCAGTTTATACAAGAACTGAGGTTGTTGATACACAGTTGCCACATATCAATAGCTTTACTGAACATATTTTTTTTTCCTATACAGTTTAATTCTGTAAGAGAACTTATTTGTCCTTTAGTTTTGCAGAAGTTTTCCTATTAGCAAGTATTAGGACAGACGACCCTTTTACAGAGCTATTTAATTCCTTTAAATATGACATTTCAGTCAAGAGATTAACTCATCAAGTTTGCATGTCTGATATTTATGTCCTTCTTTCTTTTTGAAGGGAATGAAAACTGCAGGAAACCTGTCAAGGACTGAATTTCTAGGGTCGTGAGACATCACCAGGGAGCAGGGCACAATGTCAACTGCAGGAGTTGCTGCTCAGGAGATGAGAGTCCCATTAAAAACTGGATTTCTTCACACTAGTCAAGGCATGGGGAGTCTGAAAACCTGCTGGGGTAGCCACAGTGGATTTGAAAAGTGAGTGAGGCTATAATTTGATCTATTACATCTTCAAGTATATGAGATGAGCATTAAGAATACTTGTACCAGTACCAACCTATGGTTTACTTACAGCGAAGGCTTTTTTTTTTTTCCTATTTTTTTTTTTTTAGTACTTTCTTTAATGTCGACCCTATATCAGTGGCATATAATTTGAATCCATCGACAGAGCAACATTTACCACCTATTGGTAAGTATAAAGACTAACACGTGTATTTCGGTAGCGTAATGGAACAAAAAAATAACCTCTAATCTTCCCTAAGACACTAAATGCTTCCTCATTCGGGATATAAGGCTGCCCTCTGGTGACAGAATGCAAGCATTTCAATAAAATACTATTATTCAAGCCCACCACCACCAAAATTTAAATAATGTGATCAAGTTCAAACAAACAAGCAAACAAAAAGCCCCTTTTCCTTCTACTTAGAGGCCTCTGAATTGCCATTACACTTCTGACAAAAAAAGCCATTTAGTAAAACAGCACTTGTTGTGTCATAGTCCTCTGCTGGGATTTTTGTAGCTGTAGCTCTGTTCTGTTGCGGATGCTTGTGGTCTCTTGAACCACCTCATTTATCTGGGGCACTGGCCTAAAACAATATCAAACAAAATCAGCTGCTTTCTTAATTAAACACATAAATCCATGACAAGAAAAGGTCTGTAATAGCTAAGTTTTGTTACTGGAGTCATTAAGCAGACATTGCTTATTGTTGCATGAGAAGGAATTAAATAACTAAATATGCAGTGGCAAATTCATGCACTAGAGTGTTACTTAGAAAAGTGTTTCTAAGACTTTCTCACTTTTTTAGGGCACTCTTCCAACCGTACTTCCATGAATGACCCCAGCTTTCCTGAAAGTTGCCTTCAAGTCCCAGCTCAGAAATCCAGTCCCCCTGCTGTGAGTCCCAAAAATGAACAGCCGATTTCAAGATACGACGACCATCTGGTCCCTGGCTTTAGTAAACTGTCATTAACCATGGGCAGTGTTTCTGAAGAAATACCTCCTCACATGCCAATAAAAAATGGGCCAATTCAATTTCTGTCTGCATCTTCCAATGACCGTAGCTCCAGACCGCTACCCCCTCTGCCTATTGCTGAAGACCTTACTCCAGATGAGGTTGACAAAGAGGTGGAGTTTCTGACAAGCTCAGATACTGACTTTTTGCTAGAAGATTATGAACTTCCTCCTTTTAAATCCAGCGTTCCGAGCCGGCGGAGCTTTAGAGGCTGTGGACAAATCAACTATGCATACTTTGATACTCCAACAGGACCAAAACCAGAAGATGCCAACCCTACGCAAAGCCTAAGTGGATACATATCCAGTATTTATCCTCCTCCACAGCAGCTGCATCGACGTTTGCGAAGGTCCCATTCTGGGCCGGCTGGATCTCTTAATAAACCAGTAGTAAGACTATCTGGACACTTAAACAGGTCTTCTCCGAACTCTGATGAAGATAAACCAGAGATTCCACCAAGGATTCCCATACCTCCCAGGGCACTCAAACCAGATTACAGAAGGTGGTCAGCAGAAGTTGCTTCCAGCGCGTACAGTGATGAAGACAGGCCTCCAAAAGTGCCCCCGAGAGAACCTTTGTCACGCAGCAATTCCCGTACGCCGAGTCCCAAAAGCCTGCCATCGTACCTCAACGGGGTTATGCCCCCCACCCAGAGTTTTGCACCTGATCCTAAATACGTCAGCAGCAAAGCTCTACAGAGACAAAATAGTGAAGGATCTTCCAACAGGGTCCCTTGCATTCTCCCAATTATCGAAAACGGTAAGAAGGCCAGTTCAACTCACTACTATCTGCTGCCTGAAAGGCCTCCATATTTGGACAAGTATGAGAAATTCTTCAGAGAAGCAGAAGAAAGTAGCTCTAACACAGACATTCAGTCCTGGTCTGGTGACTGCACAGCCACTTCAGCCCCAACAAAACTGGACTCAAAATCTAGAATGGATATAACTGGTCACCTGAAACGAAAACACCTCTCCTACGTGGTTTCCCCGTAGCGTCTGGGAGCACAGGCTCAGCTTAGTTGTTCAGGATGGAGCTGAACCTTATCATGTTACAAAGTTCTTAAGGTTCTTAGATAATGAAGTAGGACTACTAGTTTGTCCTCCGAGAACTGGAAAGTGGATGGTAAAGTCCTCTTATGCTGCATATCTCTGATATGTTTCTTAAGACTGTTTTTTGTCTTGGTATGTATAGCTGAAAACCTAGATTCCATAGAAACATGGAGGGGGATAGTAGTCACAGTTGGCCAGTTATATGCTACCTAGGTGAATGTTTTTGGTAGTCATGTTATCAAAACAAAAAAAACAAACCTAGCTTTGCTTACAAGTCACTTATAAAGCTGACAACAGAGCAGATAATGCAGTACAGTTTCTGTATCAGGCATTTCCAAAATTTCTTTCACACAGTAACTCTGCTGAGAACAGACTATCCTCTGAGTGGGATATGCCAATCTGGTGAGAAGGTAACTGCAAGATCTGATATCCACTTGAAGACTTGGCAAGCATATTGGAAGTGCATTTCGAAAGCTTGATCTATTTGACACTAGTAGGCTTTCAAAGTGAGTTAGATTTTGTGGATTCTTTCAGTTACTAGACACACGGCTCAATTTTGCAGTTTTTCCTAGGAGAGACTTGGACCAGTTATTGCGAAGCTGCTGCTGCTCTTTTCCTTCTGGATCCTAGAGATGTGTGAAAGTGCCCTGAAAGTGGCAGAGGATACCAGCAGCTTATACAGTTGCAATTAAATAGTCAGTAACAACTACACGCTCACCTAGAGTCTGAGATTCTGACTGTATTAATACAGAAACGCAGCACGAGCTGGTCTTGTGTTCTGGTTTCTATTCAGTATTGTAGGGGAGGAGGAAAGTATGAGGAAAAAAAAAGATGATTCCATTTATGAACAGTGTCAGTCCCATCTCTCGCTGCTTCAGATGCTGCTTCTTGCTGTTTAATTTTTCCTCATTGTGCCTCAACGATCCACTGAAGTTCGTTGAGGTGCCACATTTGTGCATTAGCAGTTTCTTACGCTCGTGATTACATTTATCCTCTTACAGATAAGCACAAGAGAAAGGGTGCTCGTTAATGGAGGTACAGAAGCTGAATGTGTTCCTCCTAACAGAAATAAACAAGCTGTTTACAGTTTAAACTGCTGAATGAGATATTTGAGCTATTTTAAAGCTTAATTTTTATTTGTTTTAGTATAAACTAAATGAAGGTGAAATACATGCTATAGAAATGCACTGATATTTCTGCATCGTGTACAGTATTGAATAAAGAAGAATTCACTTTGTATTTTGAATATTGTCATGTCTTGAGTTTAATAAAGTTATAAAATACTTATTTATGATACATTTTGGTTTTTGCTTTATTGAGTAGTGTATGGAATTGTGCATTTGAGTTCTGCATTTACTGGAAAGTTCAAAGTGAGTTAATGTTAAATGTGCAACAAATAATGAATTCCACTTGCATTTAATTAAAATTAAGATTTGTGCAGAAGTGTTCAATAACTCACATTGCACACCATTAATTTTAATTCCTTCTTACTACCTGGTAGTATGGTGTCTTATCGATTTGTGCTGACAATAAAACATCCTGTAAGATTTAAGTTACTCAGTTTATCATTATTATAACCTTTGTTATCTCTAGAGTCACCCGTAGCACGTTGGGCATCATTGTACAGAAAAGAAAGGGCAGTAGTTTTCTGTCTTCAATTTATCACTTTTTAAAAAAGAACTAAATTGTAGATTAAGGGTGACTGAAGAGGAGCTACTCATATTCTGAGGATAAAAAAAATCTTCAGCATAGCTTGGTAATTGTTTTTTTTCTTAAGAGGAGAAAGAAATGGCAAATACTCATCACAAAGCAAGTCTATTTAACTGTAGTGTGTGAGCCATAGTTTAGCTTTCTGAAGCTGTGAAGCATCACACAACTTTGATCTTTTAGCTGTGCACGCAGGTAAATACTTGCCTTGATCTGGTGGTCTGAAGTCCTCACTTTTTCTGTGAATGAGCTTATTTCAGAATTCTACTTGATGGAAAAAAATGTCATGGTCTGAAGTCCTCACTTTTTCTGTGAATGGGCTTATTTCAGAATTCTGCTTGATGGAAAAAATGTCGGATGTAGGTTTTCAGTAATGCCTAATTACTTGGCTTTTATAGCTGGGAAGATTGCTAAGTTTCATTTATGTTATATATAAAAACTTACTGCTGTGCCATGACACGGCTAAGAACCCACACAGATTGGCCTCCAAAACATAAACAAGTTATCTTATCCTGTGACTATAATATTCATCCTACGGAAAGCTCTGTAGATTTTTCTAAGGTGGAAAGAGTCAAATCAGTCTTGCATCCTTCCCCTTAAATCTGAGCAGCTTTAAACCTGGGACCCCCAAAATAACAAACCTTTTTCAGTTAAACAATTGCAGCTGCACCAAAGAGATGGATGCTGCTCAGCTGCAGCTCGTTCCTCGTTAATTGTGAGCCTCAGCACAGACTCAGTAAGGATTTCAGTGGAACAGTCTAAAACCAAGCAACTCCCCTGCAAATCTCTTCCAGCTTTTCCCTCTGGGTCCCACTCCCTTCCTGATACTTGGAAGTCCCCTTGAGCTCCTGTGCTCCAACAGGCTGCTCTTTTCTCCTCGCCTTGAATTCCCCAAGGCCTTCAGTCTCAGTTCTGCCTGCTAATAAGAGCATTTACTCTCAAATTAGTAGCAAAGCCACTCTTGGGTGGGAAAAAGAGGAAAGCTTCCCCATCCAGATACCCCACAGTGTCTCTCTGGCTTTCAGGGAGATAATTTGGGCTCAAAGCATTTGGGGAAAGGCCACGTGCCAGATCTCATTCTCTGGGGATGCAGCAATGGGACAAACTTTCACTTTCTGTCCAAACTCGCTGTGCTTCACGCAATTGCTTGGTGGTTGCATGGGGCAACTGACAGCTGAACACATTTTTGGTATAAAATGAGGTATTTGTTATAATTTTCCCAGCCGGCACCTATTTTCACTTCTGTTAGCAGTGGAAGTTCCCTAGCCATGGGGCTAAATCTTTTTCTGCTAATGTAGCAAAAAGATATTTTTATTTTACTTCCTCAGAATAAAACCTACTTCTGAGTACAAGCTGTTGTCATATTCACAGCGCAGAAACGTTTAAAAGCCTTAGAAGCTGGTGCTTTTTAATGGTAACCTTTTCTGAAATTCAAAAAAGGTGCAAGACTTTTAACCTAACCTCCATTATAGTTTCTCTCTCAAAAAAAAACCCCAAAAGATAATTGCATACTCCTTTCCTGAAAGTATTGGCATTGCCTACTCAGTCCTGAGTATTAAAAAATAAATTACTCTGTAGCGATGCTATCTTTCCTGCTGCATGTCAGCTGAATAACAGTCTCATTCCAAAAATTAAACGATGAACTTAAGTTTAGTGCAACTGTAAGTGAAGTAAAACAGACTGAACCTGAATTACAAATAGTGACTGGAACTGTTTGGCTCTGAGCAGACACAGATTCAAGCAGGTTACAGATCTCAGATGCCTCTTCAGTGTGAGGAAAGTCATTTATAGGCAAGTCTTACAGTATTTGAGTAACTTGGCCATTTTCCCCTTTAAAAATCCAAAGTAATAAGGTTTCACTGAGGACTTTATTCCACGGTTCAGTGATTCTCTCTGGATGATGATGAGGGGGGCTCTGACAAAGGCAGGGGGAAGACTGAACTTGTATATTCTTAGATACAGATTCCTGTGCTTTGGGGGACAAAGTTTGCACGATCCAAAAATTCTATTCCGTTTTCCAAGTGAGTAATTAAGGCTATAAGAGCTGTGGGGAAAGCTTTGCAAGTTCTGGCCAGAAGAGATTTCTCTGCTCATCCCCTCACACATGATAAGACTTGTCAGGACACAACATGCTTTTGCAACAGCCTGATCACAAGTTTGAATATTTAGAGCTTGGGCTCACCTGGGCAAGGCCTGACAGCTTGCCTCTGAGGAGGAAGCCCCTTGCCAGAGAGATTTGACTGGAATAATCACACTTCAAAGCAGTTACGACTTGATACACTGAACTCTGAAGAGTCAAGGAATTCGTGTTAAAGCAGGGGAGAAAGATGTGCAACTAAGGAAAGGCAACACTTCTTCCCACAGCCTCCCGATTCAACAAGTGGGCTGTGCAAACTGCTCACCCCAACCCCCAGAATCTCTTTCTTGCCTTGGCAACGTGGCTGTGACCCCCCAGCCACACTAGTGAGGAGCCACATGTCCAGGAGTCACAGAATCACAGAAACCCCCAGAATCTCTTTCTTGCCTTGGCAACGCAGCTGTGACCCCCCCAGCCATGCTAGTGAGGAGCCACAGGTCCTGGAGTCACAGAATCACAGAATCTTCTAGGTTGGAAGGGACCTTCAAGATCATCTTGTCCAACCGTCAACCTCACTTTGACAAAAATAGACACCCACACAACAAACAAAAAGCAACACCATCACTAAACCCTATCTCCCAGCACTACATCAACCCCTCTTTTGAACACCTCCAGGGATGGGGCCTCAACCACCTCCCTGGGCAGCCCATTCCAGTGTCTGATAACCTCTTCCATGAAAAAATTTTTCCCAATATCCAGCCTGAACCTCCCCTGGTGCAACTTGAGGCCATTTCCTCTCGTCCTGTCGCCTGTGACTTGGGAGAAGAGACCGACCCCCATCTCTCTACACCCTCCTTTCAGGGAGTTGGAGAGAGCAAGAAGGTCTCCCCTCAGCCTCCTTTTCTCCAGGCTGAACACCCCCAGCTCCCTCAGCCTCTCCTCATAAGACTTGTGCTCCAGACCCCTCACCAGCTTTGTCGCCCTTCTCTGGACCCGCTCCAGCACCTCAATGTCTTTTTTATGGTAGGGGGCCCAAAACTGGACACAGTACTCGAGGTGCAACAAAAGGGGGGCTGGATCCAGAGCAGCCCCACAGCAAAGATGGGATGTGGCTGGCAGCAAAGTGGTGAGAAGAGGGGGGTGACCTCTTCCTGAGGCTCAGAACTGCTGGTACCACAAGGCAAAGCCCACCCGAAGTAACCAGTGGCAGCAAGAAGCACCTCTCACATCAGCCTCCCAAGGGTCCGTGTTGCCCAGTGTCTCTTGGCTGCTCTGATGTGGGTAAAACACCTCCCACTTGGGGAGTTTAGACCAGCAAATCCGCTCAGAGGTAGCTAAAGCATGGGATGTTTGGCTCAATATACCTTTTCCTGAAAGGAAGAGGCTGTGTTAGTACCTGGTGACTTGAAAAGCCCATTAGCTTAACTTCTCCACCATGTTAACTTGCTCTTAAACAGATAAGTGTCAGAAAATAATATGCAGTTGAAGTGGGAGGTCATTTTAAAACCTCTTGATCGTCAGTTTCTCTTGCATCATAACAGATAAAAACAGAACATAAACCTGATCTGGAAGCATGCTGATTGACAACATAATTAAATTCTGCAGTCATTTAAAATCACTGATCACCGTGGCTGCTGTCGTTATTAGTTTTCCATTCACTCCCAAACTGCGACAGGCACAATCGTTGCTGCTGCACTGAAACTGCAAAAGAGCTCTCACTGCCATTGCATTTCCCCCTGCTGCAGCCTTGGGTTTGTTTTTAAGCAGCCAGAGTGAAGGGGCAGGTTGGAGGTGATAAAGGAAAGCATCCATCCAGTCCAGGACAAAGACACGGTTTTGCAAGGGCAGTTATTACAGCAGGGAGTAGCTGCTGATGGTGTTCAAACCGAGCCTTGGCAGGAATTTGGGGTTAAGATGATGACCAGATCAGTCATGGAATTCCCACCCTTCAAATTCATGATTACAGACTGCAGCCCTTATAAACACTTTTAATAGTATTACAAGCTCTATGTTAAATACATACTCTCTAGATTACTGTCAAGAAGGAAATGTGAGATGGAGGTAACAAAATGCATAATTTTATCTGGTTGAAGGGTCTCTGCAATTATGTAATCTATTGATTTTTTGTGTGTGTGTGCTGAGTGTTCCTGGGGTAAGCTTTTTGATTTTTTTTTTTAAATAGCCCAATCTTTTCTTTTCTCGATAGCTTGCTTTCTGAAGCAGGTTATATTCATTTAAAACTGAAAACATACAGCAAATTTTCTGTTTCTCGTAGATCCTCGGCGCTGAAAATCTAGCACACAAAGTTTAATTATACTTATTAATATTTGTTAAATGGTGCTGCAGAGATTTCTGGCTGCTGAGCATGTGATTAGCATTTGTAAGCTGAAAGAGGTGTTACCCCCACCCATCCTGCATTGTAATTCAGGCCTTGCATAATCCCCACCCAAATGCCTATTTTCATCCACACAGCTCATTATTTTTTCTGAATCATATATGGAAGCCACACCCGTGATTGCTCATAGACTGTTGCTATATTATTTATATATTGGTGTGCACCTTGATCCCAGTTGCGGTTAATTTTGGAAAAGGTGTTAGGTATTTCAGATTTCAAGTGACATGCCACTGAAACATGGGAACCATTACTGCTATTCATTTCCTTACAAAGTGATTCAGAGGAAGAGAGGCTTCTCTGTTTACGACCTGCAGCTTCTCGCTGAAGATTAAAACTGTTGCCCACAAATCATTAGCATGTGAAAGCTGCAAAG